TTTTGCTATTGTTATGAATCATAGTGGAAATAATTGACATGCAGGGTACCTGGTATGTGACCCCCTGCCAAGGGGTCATGACCCATGGGTTGCAAACCACTGACTTAGAGGTTTCATTGAAGGCGTATGGGTCACAAGGCTCCTAAGTCCTGGACTAAGGTTCCAAACAACTTTGTTTAGTGTGGGAGTTCAGGTAGCCTTCTTTTCTAAATAGAGCACCTCCTCTTGCTGTGGCTGGAGACACTGTTTATTCACTGGCTGGAAAGACCAGACCATGACTTATTTGATTCAAATTTCTATTTTTTTTGTCAGGGTTTTCCTGTGTGAAATGATATGATGATGGCCATTTCCAAACAGGTCCTTGAGATAAGCCGCGTCCCAAATGTTATGATACAAAATCCCCATGGTATTCACGTTTCCACCATGTTACCAAGGAAAGCCAAGTTTGAAAGGTACGGTTGCTGAAGTAAGTGATGTCCCTCAGTGTCTCCCATGAGACAGCCTTTAAAGTCCAAGCTGTCTTTTGGGTGTCATATTGAAACACAGGTTGAATCAATTCCTGGAGATGGCCATAACTCCCCCTAGAGCACCCTTTCAAATGCAGCCAACCATCCAGAGGCCACACTCTGGACAGCTCCTGGGGAGAGGGGAGCTCTCACACTTAGGGCCATTGAGGCTACTAAGAGCCTTGGGGTCAAGTTCCTACACCAAGAAGTAGCTCCTATCCCTCAGAACTTGATCTCACCTATCCCAGTTCACACCTCTCCTTCTAGATCCTTCTTTCAGAGACGATGGTTCTGGCCATGTTTCTTCCTCATCACCCTTCTCCACCCTTGGGCTCTCCCACAAGACTCCTACAGCAAGAGGGGTGGTGGTGGTGTGTGTGTGCCCTCTCCTCCCGGATCTCTGCGTGTAACAGTCTATCTCTTGAGATACTGGTCTTCTGAGTTTAAAACACCACAGCACACCGCATTGCTGCCTGTGCGCCATACGTACTTCCACTTGAGGTAGACGAGGGTACCGTCATCTTTCCCGTTCACCAGGATGTGCTGGCCATCCATGGACATTTTTATGTACTGGATCCCGTGCCCCTGGTGAGAATGACTCCGACACCGGGCAAACGTTTCCTCCATGGTTTTAGGGATAAAATGAAGAAACTATAAATGCAATTCTCCAGCATTTTTTCCAACATCATACATACTTTTGCTAATGGGTAATTTTGTTGTGCTTCTGATGACATTTTAGTCAGTACAGAGGCAGTTCTTGACAGAACACAGTGCCTAAAACCTCTAGCTCACCCAACCTTGATTTATTTTCCCACTACTTTGTGTAACGTGGAAGGACAGCTATCAGAACCAGTAGCTTAAACCAGGCAATCAGCCACTCCGTCAGCAAACTTACTGAAGGCTATGGAGTTAGGGGAGGGACCTTAAGGGAACCCAATTAGGATGCCTTCAAGAGTCAGAGGTCCATGGGCAGACCCGTAGGCGGACTCAGACAAGGGTCTCGCTGCCTTCTTCTGCTCTTTCAGAAGGCATGAGGGCAGCAACAACAAGCCAAGGCCCTTCAGGCCAGAGTGGCATTGCTGCCAAACACATCATTTCCTCCCTTGAGTCCCTAGCAGGCAGGGAGCAGGTTCCCTAACTTCACCACAGAGCGCTGGACGTTCAGAGCCTCTCAGGAAGTTTCCAGGGAAAAGCTTAATAGTGGGAAACTGGGCAGGAGCCCTTCTGCAGTGCCTTGCCCATGCTCTGTGTGCGCCATCTGGGGCTTCCTCCTTTAGAGGGGCAGGCCGACTGGAAAGACTCTTAAAGATCATTAACGTGCTCAGTGAGTCAAGAAAAAAGAAAGAAATTGGGTCAATTTTCCTAGGAAAATTTCCACATGTTTTGTTTCTGCCTAAAATCCATGTGCATGCTCCATGCTGAGAAATGATTCCTATTTAATCACAGGTATGTGTGGGCATGAGCACAGGAGTATGTGTGTGCACAGGAGTGTGTGTGTGCATGTGCACAGGAGTATGTGTGGGCATGAGCACAGGAGTATGTGTGTGCACAGGAGTATGTGTGTGCACAGGAGTATGTGTGTGCACAGGAGTATGTGTGTGCACGGGAGTATGTGTGTGCACAGGAGTATGTGTGTGCATGAGCACGGGAGTATGTGTGTGCACAGGAGTATGTGTGGCCATGTGCACAGGTGTGTGTGTGTGCATGTGCACAGGTATGCAGTTGCTCGTGAGGGCCAGGGCATAGGATACCCTGAGACAGAGTTATAGGCCCTTGAGAACCATTCAGTTCAGCTGCGGAATCAAACTCAGGCCCTCTGGAAGAGAAAGTAGAACTTTTAAGCAGGGAGTCATTTATTTTTGTTTATGTGTACAAGTATTTTGTCTGCATGTATGTACGTATACCATATGTGTGTCTGGTGCCCACAGACGTCAGAAGAGGGCGCCAGATCCCTTAGAACTGGTTGTGAGCCACTGAGTGGGTGTTAGAAACTGAGCCCCAGTCCTCTGCGAGAGCAACAAATACCTTTAGCCACTGTTCAGGTTTCTAACACCGCCCCCCCCCATCAGATATTCTTTTTAAAATTTACCAGACTGAAAATATCTCGGACACAGAGAAATCCACATTTGGCTATTGTCAGGAGCCATAATCCATGGGAAGACATAGAGATCATCCCAGATCCGTACTGTTTGGTTTGGACTTTTTGGTGTGGCTTGAGTACGCAAACACCAACGTGATTCTGCCAATCAAAGCAAAGAACAACATATGGAAAAGGTCAGGCCAGTGGCAACTTTGGTTTTGTAGCGGTGTGTTACATGAGGGATCGGGCTCGAGTCTGAGAATGCTGTCCTTGGGAAAGCGCCCGTGTTTGTACCGTGTATTAATTACATCTCTACAGATAGAAGCTGATTTTGCCGGCCAAGGAGCATGTTTGTTTGTTTTGATCCTGGGATCAAACCCAGGCTCCTATGCATAATAAGCAAGTACTCTTAACCACAGAGCTACACCCCAGCTCAGCCAGCAATGGCTTCTTTATATGTAATTCTGCCACTGAGGATCCAAGCCTACACTGAGGGTCTTTGTTTTCAGCCATTACTTTTATATACCATCACGCACAAATCAAAATGCAAGTTGTCCATGTCCTCACTCTGTGTCCCATGCACCCCTGTCTCCCTCCTCAGAAACGACCTTCCTTTTGTCTCAGATGTCCTTCTCAACTCCATCCCATCACACCTCTTCCACATCCCCATCGCCCTCCTTCCTTAGGGTGAACATGTTATTTTTCCATATCCCAATCTGAATCATCCTTCAAAGTCCAGCATAATTATTGCTTCGTCTACAGTAGTTTTCGCGAATTTTCTGTTACCACAAGCCACCTCTTCTTTTTCTTAATTTCTGCACCTAATACTGGCTACACTGGGAGAAAAGAACTGAGAGAAGATAAAAAATTATTTAGAGAAGCATGGGATGGAGTCTCCTCCCAGCGACCTGAAGACGGGCATCAGTGGGATGCTGAGTGCCAAAAGCAGCATGCCAGACCCTGGGCTGCGAGGAGGGGATCCAGAATGGAGAAGTTTGGAGAGACGAAGGAACACGACAGAGACATAGATTAACTATTTTGTGTGATTTTAGTTAGGGCCCAGGTGGAAAGCTTCACTGGAAAGTTTGCACCGTATGGCCACTGGCATCTGTGACTTCAAGGCGCTAAACAAATACTCTGTCACCTGTATGTTTGTCTGACAAGATGCTGTCTGTGGCGTAAGGGTGAGGTCACTCAGCTGTATTCGTGATGGGTTAACCAGTAACTCCCGTGCGGCTAACTGAAGGCGATGCTGGTCGAATCGGTCTGCCGAGGCAGCCAAGAGGGCCTCGTCTAATAAACGTGGCCTCAGTCTTGATGGCGGGAGTCTGGCGTACCTTCTCGGGAATCAGATAGCTGCAGATGTACGGCACTTGGCTGCAGAAACCATACACCTTGTCGCCCTCAAAGCCAAGCACAGCGGAGGACAGAGGGTGCTCCACCTCATACAGGAACTTGTGGATGAAGCTGTCCATCAGCCTTCCTCTTTCATCAGAGATGGCGCTAGGAACTAAGACATGGAGAAGAGGAGGGCGCCTAAGGGCCTGAGATTGCACGCTGAAAATCCGTGGGGACAGTTATGAAATGCAAAATAAAAATTTGAACAGTTGAGTAATAGGAAAAAGGTTACTTGGTGATTTAAGAAAATGTTAAAACAAGTTGACCTCAACCAGAGCTACTTGACACTTATAGCCAATAAACGACATGTCATAGCCTTTCATTTCAGAAATTATAAATTATAGCCAGTAAATCATATGTCATAGCCTTCACTTCAGAATTATAAATTATAGTCAGTAAACGATATGTCATAGCCTTCATTTCAGAAACTAGCTTAAAAACTAACATTAAAATAGACTTAATACCAGAATTCTTTTTTTTTTCTTGTTTTTCTTTTGTAAAGGTGTTACTGGCCTCAAACATGCAACAATCCTCCTGCCTCAGCCTCCTGAGTTCTGATTCTTCCCTCCTTCCCTTCTCCTTCCTTCCCCCACTTCCTTTTTTACTTGAGACAAGATCTCACTATGTGCTCTGGTTGGTCTCAAGTTTGCATACAGATCAGGCTGCGTTGGAATTCACAGAGATCTGCCTTGCCCTGCCTTCAAAGAGCTTGAATTAAGGGCTTGAACCACCATACCCGGCATTAGTTTTTTTTTTTTTTCAGATTCTCAATGTTTTCATGAAAATATTTTGAGTTTTTTTTCTTATTTTCTGTAAGCCTATATTTGCAAAATTTCTAGTTAGATAAATTTGTCATCTGAGACAAAAAGAATATCTGTTAATCCAGAGAGCTGGTTTACCTACACTGTAAAGCATCTGAATTTAAATATGAATATTTTAAACTGCAAAACAAGAGCCATTGCAAAATGACAGATCAGCTTGGCTTGGCAGCTCATCTTGTTTCTTTTTTCTTACAGAAAGAAAGAAAGAAAGAAAGAAAGAAAGAAAGGAAGGAAGGAAGGAAGAAAGGAAAAAAAATCAAATAAACATTCCTGAATCCTGAGGCAAGAAGGAAAGTCCCCATCTCACACTGCTTAGACTGCCCCCGCCCCGCCCCACCCCCCAGTATTCATTTTTTAAGTTATTTAAACGAGGGCAGCCACCTCTTTGCCAGAACATTACCAAACCAAAAGAAACTAGAAAATCACCACAGCAACACCTCTGGGCCAGAAAGAGGGACTGGAGGGCTGGGGGCTGGGAGGCTGGGGGCTGGGGGGATGAAGACACCAGGGCCAAGTGATCCCATTCTTGATACAAAACGGGGCGAGGGGAGTGGCTGGGGGTGTTACACACGTGTGGGGAAGGGCGGGGGGGGGGGGGGGGGGGGGGGGGGGGGGGGGGGGGGGGCGGGGGGGGGGGGGGGGGGGGGGGGGTGGGTGGGGGGGGGAGGGGGGGGGGGGCTTGGGGGGGGGGGGGGGGAGGGAGGACTTCCATTTTTGGCTCTGAAGGAGGAGTGCAGAATAAGCCTCATACTAAGGAACCAAAGGCCAAACAAAACAAAACAAAACAAAAAGGATGAACTAGTAGCCCGAGTACATCAAAGAGCTATCAAAGATGCAGGACTGGAGGGACCAGGCTGGCATAGGAACAATGCATCTGAGTGAG